TCCTCTTCAGAGATGCACCCCAGAGATTGCCTGAGGAACATCTTTGTAAGAGAGGAAAGTGGAACAGGAGCTTCTGGGACCACCCATGCAGGATTGGGCCCCTTAAGACCAAGGAGAGCCTGCCTAGGATGGCTGGAGAGTGTGGGCAGCCCTCACTCTCACGCCATAAAGCAACCAGGCATATGCCACAATAAAATGGAAGAAACTATTACTACCTTTGTCACACCAACAAAGTTTGGCCATTTGTAGCATGACAAGGGGCATGGATATCTGTTTGCTTCACCTTTGGCCACTGTAAACATTTTTATGACAGCACAAAGGTGATGTCTGTTTCCATCATATAACAGGGACAGCCAATCTACAATACATGTGCCATGAGAGGCACCAACAGCCTGTGTACATATGGCACAGCAGACTGGGGAGAGAACAGGCAGTACAGCAGCAGATAGGGCATGGAGTAGAAAGCAGAGTAGCAGATAGGGCAGTGAGCACAGGGCAAGGAGCAGAAAGTAGAGAAGATCAGGCAGGGGAAAGGGGCCGGACTGGCACTTAGGGAGAATGCAGGGCTTAATTTGTGGCATGCCTGCCAAAAGGTTGGGCCCTGCTGCTCTATGGTATTTTCCCTCTTTACTTAAAAAATATAATAATTTCTTCATGGTATACAAAAGCTCTCTTGTTAATTTCATACATGTTCTCTCTCCTCTTAACCACGACACATGAAAAACCACAACAGGAGAACTGAATTCCTTTTCCTGAGCCTCTTCCCAGAATGCTATGTAAGAAGGTTGTGGGCTATCAAACAGCATGAGTTTTTAAAAACACACAATTTCAAAGCTGTCTGAATATTATCCCAACTGAAAACAGGAAGAAAGACTTATGGGAAAAAAGATGTTTCTTCCTTGGGGCCAGGTATAGAAAGCAAGAAGTTTGAAGGAATATCCTCTGCAGATTAAGGTAAGTGTTTGTTAACTTTGATTCCTCCTCCACAGTTTTGTCCTGTGTCCAGTTTTGTCCTGGGACAAATATTAAAGTAGTCTTCAAACACATATGTAATCAGGAGTAAGTACCAGAAATTTATGCCACAATAGCACTTGTGGTCTTTCGTATTCCAAAGACTGCTTTCTATCCTGATTTTTTCTTTTCTTCCATCTTCTTAGGTTTCTAGTGTTCTTACTTTTTCCCCCTTCACATGAAGTTTATTACTAGTTACTTTCCCTTTTCCCATTTTTTCCCTCCTCCTTCAGATGTAGCTCTTTCTCGCCCACTCATCTACTTGTTCATTCTTTACCGTCACCTCACTTATCCTCTTCCTCATGCATTCACTTCCCTTACCATCCTCACTAACCTGCCATTTCCCGAAGGAGCAGACTTCCACTAACTATGATTTGTTTTGAGCCTATCCCTATTAATTTGTGGTAAGAGCAGATGTTTGCAGAAACAGATGTTGGATGACTCAGCTGCTTTACTACAGAGAATACAATGGGCTTCATACGTGGCACTTTCCTATAACTGAGAACCAAAAAGGGGATTCAGCTTTGGTTACTCCTACTTTATATCATAGCAAAGTTCACAATCTCAAGGTACATCTGCAGTAAGTTAACGTATTTTCAGCAGCTATGATGTAGAAAAATCAAATAAACCCATTACTTATTTGAAGCCATAGTTTTGTTTCTTAGTACTAATTTAAACAATACTAAAATTATCCCAAAATATATATCAACCATAAAAAGAAGTCTTAAAAAACAAACAAACATTCATAACACATTCTTTCTTCACACCAATGAAGAGCTGTGATAAAATTAACTGAGTAAAGCAATTTGTTGAAGAGAGCAAGGACAAAAAAATCCAGCGATACATGATTCATCTCTAGGACATTGCACACTATTCTAAGTAAAGTTAACATTTAAAAGTATTAGTTTAAAACAGGGCCCTCTCACCCTGCCAAAAGAAGTAAAATATAAATGTTTTACCTAAAATAATTTAAAATGTTCATCAAAATGTCTGCACAAAAACATGTGGATTGTCTTTTTCAAGATTTAAATGAAAAAAATGAAAAAATAATTTTTACCTAAAAACAGAAGTGCAGTGCAAAAGTCCCATGAATCTTAATGTTCAATGCATGTTGCCTCTGTGTCACAGAATGAACTAACAAAATTTAAAACAAAGCCCAGCAGTGACTATAAAGGAAAGGGCTCATGAAAACAGTTACTACACTAGGGAATCATATACTAGGTGAACACTTGGACTAGAATACAAGAAAACAAGGACCAGACATACCCACGTAGAAGCATCATTTGGGTAAAATCCCCCTCCAGCTGTAGCATAGGGGCATGTGCAAAGTTTGTGGGTAAAAGCTAAAGGACCCTCAGCACATTCCATCCATCTGTAATGTTCAGATTTTTGTAGTTATCCTTATGGTAAAGCATGTTTTTAGCAGAGTGCAGAACACATGAAGTAGAGAGCTATGCAGCAGTTCTAAGACAGTGTCCAGAAAAATCACTCTCAAAAATCATAGTGCTTTCAGGACAATCCCTGAATTAGTCATTAGTCAAATACTGACCTGAATACTGGAAGAACAGTGAGGAGACAAAGAAAGCTGAAAGGGAGATGTAGGTTGTAGCCGTGTTGGTCTAAGGACATAGGCAGACAAGGTTATTTCGGTAAATCTGATATCTTTTATTAGACCAACTCAAATACGTAGAAAAATTCTTAGCAAGTTTTTGGGTATACATGCCTTTTGTCAGGCTGAGGAGGCATCTGCAGTTGGTGTGTGCTCTTCCTGGATGGAATGAATAGTAAAGAAGAGGAGGACCCTTTGTGTAAAAGGGAAGACTTAGGGAAGCTGACGACCAAGAAAGGCATGGAGATCTTGCCATATACTTTGCTTTTATACACAGCTATAACTACACTGATGATTAAGAATAAGGCACATCCTCATTTTTCTTCAATGTATTTATCGATAAAATGGGTGCAATATTTATCAGTAGAGTTCTGAGGCTTAACTGCTCTTTGTAAAGTGCTCAGAAACCTTTGATAAAAGGCTGTTATAGATCTGATTATAACACTTCACATCATTTTCATCTAGATAGGCACAATATTAAATTGCAGTTCCCTCCTACAAACTGACTGGTACCTCTCACAATGTTGCTTTCACAACTTATTGTCCCCCAACAACTCCTGTTTCAGTATATAAGGAAATAAATGTTGTCTTTCTAAATGACATCCCTGCAAGCTAAACCTGGAATTAAAGTGAAGCTGGATTTGTTCCACCACATAGTTTCACAATTAGCAAAGAATTAACGGGCTAATATTCTGCCTTCAGACAAGTGAAGGAAGGAAGGAAGGAAGTGAAAGAGCATTAAAAATGTGGTTACACAGCAACATTTGGAATTTAATCTGAAGACAGTGTAATTGCATAGCTACCAATAGGAGCACAATAGGGCCAGCCCAATGTGCTACTCTGATCTGATGGAAACATTTCAGCTCAGTTTTAGAGCCCACAGTACTTCGCTGTTACTAAGGTGACCTACAGCCCAATGAAACACTATCAACATGAATTCCCACAAAGATATTCTGGCATCATCACTTTTCCTGACAGGAACAAACCTGGGTGTCAAAAAGACAAAAAAAAATCACCTTCACACAAACCTATCATCTCCATTTTTGCTAGTTGTTTCTTTTTGAGGGTGTTATGGGGTTTTACAAATGTTAATATAATGCCTACATTGGGTAGGAAATATGACCCTCGTATTATCTCAGTTCTCTCAACTCTCAATTCTGTGCTTCAGGCCATACAGGCATCTTTCTTTTCCTTCTGAAGTAAGTAACAAGTTCAAGGCTTGCTCTTTATATTTCCCCAAATCCTTTATTTTACCTTTACAAAAAAACTCCTAACACTCTTTTCTTTACTCTGAAAAAAAAATTAAATATACTTTTTAAACCATTAAAAAAAAAAAAAATCAAGCAAACCAGATTTCAGCTTAATTGTTTATGCTCTCCTGAACTAAAGGACTTATTTTGCTTCAAAGAAGGTATCAACTGTTTCTTTCCTTGACAGTGGTTTGCTACCAAAGAAACCCTAAACACAATTCATACAGATTTTATTTCGAGTTTGAGTCTGCTCACACACATCTTCATTATCTCAACAACAGAGCTTTAGCTATATGAATGAAAGCTTCCCCAGAAGATAATCAAACAAAACCCAGCAATTCATTCTATGCTACTTGCTCAAGTTCATGCAGAAAACATTTTACAGGACAACAAGTCTAAAAAAACAGGCTACATTTCAAAAATATTCCTCAGAGAGGATACTAGTGATTTAACACACACACACACACACACACACACACACACACACACGATTTATGTAATCGTAAGTCCTAAAAACAAAAGATGAATCTAGGACAGACATCATGCTTTCAAATTAAAAGTAGTTACTGAAGACACCCTGCAGTCTCAGATCCCAGTTAAGTTCGCTTATCTCATACCTCATGCTCATGTAGTATCCTTAGCCAACAGTGCCAAACGAGTTGAAACAGTATGTATGGAAATGTTGAAGTCAATGGCATATTGTGACAATTAATGAGTGGTATATTTCAAAACAGCAGTAGTTGGTGCAGCTGTGTCTTTCCTTAAGTATTCCGAATTAGTTGTTTCCTTTATTAGGAAGCTGGGCCTATCTATCTGTCTATCTATCCGTTATTGAAATCCACAGTTTAACTCTAATATAGGTAATAAAATATCAGATAATAAATAAACCATATAACCAGACGCACTGTAGCCTTAAAATTCTCTTTCTCCAGGACACAGTTTCAAATAGGAAACCTGTGTCATTCAATGCAATTCAATCTGCAGGATAGGAAATCTCCTCCAACGTGTTAGATTTTAAGGCTCCAGGAAGGTACTTCTCATTTTTTGTAAGTTATATAACTACAGTCCATTCATGCCCAACCTGCAGTTGTATGAGGTGACATAGGTGTATTTTCTGTTTGCTTTCTTACCTTGTTCTCTGCAGAAGTGTACTGTATCTTTAATGTATCCATGGCTCTGATCATAGCTTGCATGGCAGTAAATATGTTTTGATAAACCAATTTTGTGAAGCTTTTCCTGTCCTCGTCTGTGTAACCTGATCCATGAATAATCCTCATCTGTTTAATAAAGGTACTTTTTCCACTTTCTCCTGTGCCTACAAGACAACACAGTAAAAGCTCAGAGTGAATAATGCTTGTAAACCATATCAGTGAAAATTATTGAGTATACAGGAATAAGTGCATCAATAAAAAGTCAACATTTACTTTTAATAAAGTAGAATGAATAAGCAATGCATACAGGTCCATGCAAATTTAAAAATCAATAAGCAATTAAAGGATCATTTCTCAAACTATACAAGAAAAGTTTTCATAATACCCTGTAGTTTTGTAAGGGGATCAAATCTCTGTCCCTGGCTCTGGGTAAGCAATGGCTGTGAATAGCCTGCAAGAAAAGAGTTTACAGATGCAAAGCAAACTTCTTTCAGTTCTCGCCTCTAGGCTAAATACAAACAGTCAAAATGCCCAAGGCTGAATTGATTCAATCTTCGCAGGTTAGTCTAAGATGTGCAGTTTGACCTGATAAACAAATGATAAACATTCACTTTTGATTCTAGAAATGTAGCCAGATGCCTGCTGTGGGTCAGAGCAGAAGCCAGGGGGTGTTAGCCCACCCACCCTGTGAGGGGTAGTTTGCAGGGAAGCTGGGGGACTATGAGTTAATTTGAATCTAGAGGGGATCTGGGATAGAAGTTCAATAAACCAAATTAACCTGAATCAGTTAAGCCTGATACTACATCCATCCAGGTTTATCTTTAACTGGTTTCAGCTATTTTGAAAGCAGTTTACGTGCACTGAACTTCTGCTGTGTTACAGATTTGAACCTCTTTCTGATCACTTATACTGGTTTATGTGTAATTGCTGTCCCTAGCCCAAAGCTTCTATAGTTTAATTATGTTTCATTTATCTTCAGTTCTAAAAAGGAAAGAGCAGGCCTTGGATTACTCTGTTGTTTCCCAATTAGTGTTTTTCTATCATTCAGTGTTGAAGCTACATGGTGAAACAAAGCTATACCAATGCCAACAAATACTTTCCAGTTAAAAACTCATAAATGCACACCAAAAAGCATCAAGAAAGGGAAAAACTTTTGGCTGGTTGATTAGGAGTAAATATATTTCAATTGGGTTTTAGGCTTCCCATTCACTCAATCAATAAACAATGTTTACCATAATACAGAATCACTATTAAAAATCTTTCAGTTGTTCATACCCACTGCTACTAGAGGTCTGAAAATGTATCAGCGTGAAACAGAAAGAAAATGGTCCATTAGATTCATCTTCAAATTTACCAAACAAAAAGCTGTTTGTTCAATCAATCAATCAATAAATATATATATATATATATATATATATATATATATAAAAAAACTTGGTACAAGTCTAAACTTCAGCATGAGATACAATTTTAATGCTTGAACTGTTACTGAACATAGTCTTTCTTATCGCATGTGATGCTCTTTGTGAAGATTTATATACATGTTTGTTACATATTTACTACATATCCTGTACAATGGTTTCTGTCATTTATAGCCATTTTTCTTGGGGAGGGGGAATACGATGACCCATACATCAGCTATTCTACTTCTGTCCGTCCTTTCCTCCCTGATACGGGAAAACAGAGTCTAGAAATACCTATTTTAAAAAATATCTTCTATTGAAGACTTTAAATTAGCAATTGCTTGTTTGTTATTCTAATGAATAGTCATCCAGACACCCTACTCATAACATTAGTAGGAGCAGTTGTACTCTCCAAATAACAGCAGCTACAGGAATCCTTATCAGAGGAGGCAACATATTCTTAAAAGACAGAGAGAGGGAGAGGAAGGGAGAGAAATATTTTTTATAGTTAATTAAAAAATATTTCCAGCAAAAGGAAGATAATACATTATTCAATAACTGTTTCAGTTTTTGTTGTTGATTTGGATTACAATGAGGAACATAAAAATGTAGAATACAAAGAATATTAGAGATTTTGAAGTTACATATGACTTGACTTTGGCATAATATTGATCATTACATATCACAGCTCCCAAATAACTAGTTCTGGGAAGCCAGTTTTAAAAAGAAATGTCAACATAAACAAAATCTCAATATATTTAAACTTAAAAGAAAAAAAAAACTCCATTCTTCAACTGTGAGCACTTCCCTCATTTTAAGCAATGTTATATTATAGAAATCGATTACAAATATTATATTTTTATACACAAATACACACATACACATGAATATTTTGACCCAATTTGAACCATGAGCCACGTTCTTAGGCAGACATATAAGTAAAGGCATAATGGGATCTGACATATGATCCCCACAATCAGGCTTCCTGCCATGCCATACATGCATGGCAGGAGGCATGATTGTGCGATCCCCCTTCAGATCCCATCACACCTTACTGCTGGTGCAGCGGGAGCCTGGTATCATGATCCTGGGGTCCTCCTGTACCGGCAAGTAGCAAGCTCCCGCAGCTGGGAGCCCCATCAGATGACAGGTTGCCTAGCCACAGGGACAGGCCCTACAGTTGGAAGTCTCAGTCAGGTCAAACATTCAAGTAATGACATGATAGGAACCAAGCACAAAGTTGTACATTTTTTGTGTAATAACTTTGTGGTTTATTTCTTGTTTTATCATGCCAGTAATTGATTGAACATGTGGCCAAGTAACATCTTAACACAGGGGTGGGCAATTATTTTGGGCGAAGGACCACTTACTGAGTTTTGGCAAGCCATCGAGGGCCACATGACAGGCAGCTAGGGGCAGATAAATATTAATTTTCTAAATTTTTTAGGGGCCCCGCAGGCCAAATAGAATGGCCTGGCGGACCGCGTCCGGCCCGTGGGTCACATTTTGCCCACCCCTGTCTTAAGATGTGATTAACTGGTTAATCATATCTTAAGTGTAACATATGCCAGGGGCCTTAGTTTACTTAAAATAAACAGTCTGATCATATCACGTTGGTGCTCAGCACTGGACTCAAGGAAAAATCATTGCAATTACAACTCACTTCAAGTCAAAACTTAGAATGCCAGGGACCTACCAGGAAGCAATTTGTTATCCAACTGAATAAAATCAGGTTTGCAAATTTTTAAAAATGAAAGAAGTCTTTTTGAGGCTAAAGGAATGGAGCTGCACATGAAACAGAGAGACAAGTGTAATAACCATGAAAGAACATAAGTAGTGAAATGGAAGGCAATTACCTAGGTGAAAAAGGAAAGGATGAAGTTGTGTGAATCACACAATATCCCATTTCAGATTCAAACAATAGTGATGTTTTGTTCTAGGGCAAGTGTCAAACAAAAAAGAAGGTAGACTGGCAGAGCTGCCGGGGTTAAAGAGGTCAGAAGACATAACCCAACTTAGAACTCTTTCCTACATGTAACATTTTTATTTTCGCATAAAAACAAAGGTTAGTGGCTTCTTGCCCTTTTTGCTGTCACTTTACCACATCACTTTTCTTGACATAAAAGTCACTTTTTGTAACAACCATCTTCTGTAGTGTGTTTTAAATACCACAGTACTTCCCAGAACCTCCCCAATTTACCCTTCGACCTTTCATAGTTTTGCACACAAGTTGATTTAAAAGCTTTGTACTCCCAACTGTGACCTTAAGTAAAGTGCACAGTCTTCCTACTGTGTCCTTCCTTCCCGAGATTCCACAAGTTCCTCTGAGCCGTGCCTCCAGTTACAAACCAAGAATACAAGCTCTCTGTGCCGATCTAACAATACATGCTCTTTGTTCCTCCGATTCCATAAATTGGCTAACAATTCTCCAGGGTTCATTACTTAAAATGAAATCTGTCTTTCAAGGAGCATTCTGACACAGCATCATTTTACAGCATGCTCATAAAGAGTAATGCTTGGGAGAGTGTGAATGGTCAATGGTCTTACTAATGCAAGCATTAATAGGACAGTAATATAGTAACAGACTCCACTTGAGGATTCAGCTGAACATGTGAACTGATTCAGGCTGAATTGCTGATCAAGTTAGGGAAAAACTACCCCTAAAGTGAATTAAATACAAAAGAAAAAAACAAAAGACAGCAAAATCTATACATTACAATTTGGCGTATACTTTTAAAGAACACTTTTTTCACCTTATTAAATAAAACAAGGGGTAGCTATCTTGTATTTCTTGTAAATACTAGTTTTAATCAGTTTCATTCACAATACAATAATTGTATAAAACAATGGGCATGTCTACACGTGCAATTAATGGGCCTGAATTTTTTGCACAGAATTAAACTGCGCCCAGAAACGCATCTGAACATGCATCTGTTGGGAGCCAATTTGCTCCCAATGGGAGCAGTTCAGTCTAGGGCTACTCCTGCCCTGCTCTGCCCCACTGCAGCAGCCAGTGGGAGCTCCAAACTTCCCCAGCTGCCAGCCCTGGGCTGGCAGGGGGTACAGGAATCAGGCCTGGGCTCTGTGGGGTGGGGGAAGCTATCCTGCAGATACAGGCAGACCTAGACAGGCTTTCAAGTTGGGCTGACCGAAACCAGATGAAGTTCACTGTTGAGAAATGTAAAGTGCTCCACCTGGGGACGAACAATCCCTTGCACACCTACAGGCTTGGCAACACCAACCTGACCAGCACTATGAATGAAAGAGACGCGGGGGTAATAATAGACCAGAAAATGAACATGAGCCGGCAGTGCAATGCTATAGCCAGCAGAGCTAATAATACCATGGCATGCATCAATCAATGCATCTCCCGCAAAACCAAAGAAGTGATCCTTCCACTCTATTCGGCATTGGTAAGACCACAGCTGGAGTACTGCGTCCAGTACCAGGCACTGCACTTCAACAAGGACATGGTAAAGCTTGAGAAAGTCCAGAGAAGGGCCACCCGTATGATCAGAAACTTGTGTGGCAAGCCATACAAGGAAAGGTTGAGGGATCTGGGGACTCTTCAGCCTGAAAAAATGAAGGCTGGGAGGGGACTTAGTAGCAGCTTACCACTACATCAGAGGCATACAACAAGGGCTCGGTGAACAACTGTTCACCAGGGCCCTTGTGGAAAACTAGGAGTAATGGTCACAAACATCTGGAAAACCATTTCAGGCTCAACATCGGGAAAAACTTCTTCACAACTAGGCTGTCCA